TCTTCTTCTTCTTCTTGTTCGGGAAAAAGCCTGTTCGCAGAGCTTTCCCGCGCGACCGAACAGTGGTTATGTCAACGGAAAACCCGATTACACCATCCTTTCGTTCGTTGTCCTTCTTTTACCGCGGCAAACAAAACTATCCCCCCTCGACTTGTATCTCCAACCACGTTGCGACATCTCGCAAGGGGCAAACACTCAGCGTCCAAACCCAAGAGCGTTCCTCGCCTTAGAGACTCTTGCTCGAGTCTTTCCCGTCTCGTCGGATTTAACTCCGCGATAGCAATTCCTTCCTTCCTTCCTTCCTTCCTTCCTTGCTACTTTTTCCGCTACCTCTCCGTGGTATTTCTGCGCGCCGAATATTCCAGTTGGCGTCGAGCCACGCGCGAGCAAAGAACAACAGGCCTCGCCTTCCCAACGTTGGGAACAAAAACAAGGTGCGCACGGGTCCGGCTTCATTTCTTGCCACGTTACGCGTTAACCGCGCATTCCCCGCGCAATCTCGCACGGGGGAGAGAAAGAATTCCGCGAGTCGGATTGCGGGCAGCAGCCGCTGGAGACAAAGGTTGGAGACCTCGGCCTCTACCTTCGCTCAACATCCTCGACCCTTCATCGTTCCCCCTTTAATCCCTAAACCCCTTCGACCAAACCGTACCGTGTACGGTTACAAACGCGGTTTTAAACGGAGAGAAAGAGGTGTGTTGCGCGCTCGACGACCACCAGCTCCAACGAAGAAGATTTATCCCCTCCCTCGCGATTCCCCAAGGAAGATTTTTCTCACCCCTCTCTGTGACTTATCGAATTCACAGCTGATCTCCTCGACGATATCGATTCTCTGCCCCCCCCCTCCCCCCTCCTCGCTGGCAGAGATTAACCGTGGCTCGTAACGCCCCGACGTATCCTCCTCCTCCTCCTCCTCCTGCTCGCGTTTAAAAATTCAAGGGAACGTGGCGCACTTCCGCGTCGGCGAAAAGAACCACCACCACCATCACCACTACCACCGTTCTTCCTCTCGTGGAAGAGAGAGAAGGACGGGGGAGAGAAGGAAGGTATGCGCGAATATAAAAATGAAATCGAAAGAGATTTGCTTTCTTGGCGGAGGGGTGAGGCGGTGGTGGATTTCGCGCTGCAGCGGCGGACCTCGTTTCCGTTCTTGTCGTAAATCATTCATTTCCGTCGTTCACATCGTTTTCCATGACAAGCTGAATCCATCGGGGTGGGAGGGGGTGGAAAAATTACGTTAGAGACCTATTCTGGGATTCAGATTCTTCGAGCGAGCTGCGAGAATACCACCGCTTAGGTATTATCGTAGGAGGAACGTTGACTCGACCAGGAAACGTTGGTCTGCCTGCCGGCAAATCGTTGGAGAAATCGTGTTCCCTTCTCACCTCGTCTCCTGTGCCTCGTTTGTCCTATCACCGCGACACGCCCGATCACGTTTTTTCGATTCCAGTCCAGTATTCGGCCGGTATAGTATAATAATTTAATCGATGGAGGATACACACGTTTCCCTTCCTTTTCGATTTTTTTCCACGGCTCGTAGACAGACGCTTTCCTTATATTGGGGGGGGGGGGATGGAAAGCCGCGGATGTAACAATAAAAGGAATAACTCACACAGATTTTGAAACGCCAATATTGGATACGGATCATAGATACAGAAGATACGCTGTTCAATAATTCATGTCATTCGACTGAAAAGCTTAGCACGGTTCAGCGATATTCAACCTGCCGCGGATACATCCCCTCCCTCCTGTTCGCCGAGGATGGGCCGAGGGGAGGCGAAAGAAATACCCGACCACTGTATCTCATACGTCGAAACCGACGTATTTAAAGAGTCAATAAGTGTCGACGAATTTTTTCCTTTCGTATTCCAACTACGTAATTCCACTCGTGTAATCGGGAAGAAAGTCTAATTAGGAAGATGATTTAATTAAACTCTGCGCGAAGCTTCCCGTTCGACGCGTGTTCATCAACGCGTTCCTCAATTCGAAATTCTATCCTAATCGATTCTCTTTCGATCCATCGATCCACAGTTTATGATACGATACGAAACTTTTTTCC